TGCAAAGCTACACAGAGAAACCCTGTCTCAAAAAAAAAAGTTTGAATGGATGCCTTAAATTTTACTTAATTCTCATAGTGTCTTCTTGACTGCCAGATAGTAATGACAGTTATCGACAATTAATTCTGAAACTACAATGAATTTTTAAAATTATTTTATTTACTTATTCAGATCTTTGATATTGTAATTCCTACTTTATGAATACATAAACACATGTAATCAAATCAAAGTAAAGAACAGAATACATTCATGCTATCTAATCCAAATGAAATATTTCCTGTCAGTCTCAGGTCCCATTTCATTTTTCTTATATCCTGCTTCACATACCACAGTCATCATGTGCATGGATTTTGTTGAAAAGAATGGCGGATACAGAAGATTTTGTGCAGCATTCTGTAAGTGTAGTATCTAATATTAAATGGCTATGAACATGTTTAGCCTGCCTTTTTATAAGAAAATATTTAACACCATTGTTCAAGAATCAGCATTACTTGGCAGGAAGTCTCTCTTCAGTTATGTACAGGACCACAATTTGGGGTACATAGAATCCTTAACTAAATTTTCATACATTATTTCAGTCAGAAGTGATTATGAACTACTTGGCAAGCATCACATATATAAGACATCAGTTTTCAAAAACAAAGTTTTTTTTTGTAACACCATTCTTGGGGAGAAATGAAGAAATATCTTCACTAAACCAAAGACTCTATTTTGACATCAAATTTATTGGAAAATTAACAGTACTTATGATAATGAATATAAACTGTCTATCAGGTATAAGTCCATTAATTGTGACATACCTTGGTATACCCAGAATGCTGAATTAGTCTCCATATATAACTATACAAAGAAAAATGCCATAATTTGAGAAATCTTTAAAAAAGAAACAATGTCATATTTAATAGATATTAAATTAGAGGTTGGCATTGGTGCTTTGCAAGAAGACTCTGAAAGGAAATGATTAATAAAAACTCTGGTATGTTGACCATTTTGAAGTGGAAAGCCACATACACATTCATCAAAATATCATCAGTACAAATCAGAGCAGATAGGTTAAAAACAGAAGTGTGTGTGTGTGTGTGTGTGTGTGTGTGTGTGTGTGTGTGTGTGTACTGATTAAGAAGAAAAGGGGTGGTGGATCCAAGTGGACATAGCAGCAATGTGTATTTCCTACAAATTCACAGAACACTCAAGTAACTAAATTTAAATATCAATAATTATATAAAGGTCTAGACAATAAAATTTGAAGAATCTACAAATTCAGAAACAGTCATATTTTTAATGGTCATCTCTTTTTACTTCTTATACTTAATGTAGCAAAAGAAACAAACCTCAGTTTAAGAATTATGGGACATCTATGTGAGAACCACTGCTGATAATGGAATCCCAAGAGAAAATATATGAGATATCCTCAAAAACGGTAAATAATTGTGTTTTGTAACTAGAACATTGATCTGAAATAAGAGAAAAAAATAAAAATTCTTGATTTCCATTTCCATTGCTGAAAAACTGAAATAAAAATTATTGAATAATCGAATGACATTTTAACTTTGTATATCTTATACTTCACAGACACCTGTCCTCAATGAAGCTACTGATTTGGTGAGTTAAAGTAAAATAAAAATGTTTGTCAGAACTCAATATAATAAACAAAACAACCATTTAATGAAAATATTCTGTGTGGAGAAATAGGAACAGGCTTATGTTGGGAAACCTTTTGCAATAATACAAAAAATATCAATACATACATGAAACAAAAACTATACCTGAAATCATTTAGAAAATATCCCTACCTGTTTTAAAGTTCATAGAGTTCTACAGTCTCTTTCATTTATTATGTATGAGGTGCAAATAGAAAAATAACAGTGACTGATGGGCTGCAATCACTTCATTTCTAGGCAAAGAGAATAAATATTGTGAGCAATGAAATTAAATATGACTAACATATCAGATTAAGTCTTGAATATGCTACATGGACTGGACGTAATAATTCACAATCTAAAGGGGATTTGAATTAATCAAACTTCCATATTTATATTTCTGTACTAAATTTTATTGTTTACATGAAAGATGCAAACTCAAGCACTTGATAAAATAAGGTTTATGGTGTCCAAAATCATCAGAATTGTGCAAATATTAAATCTTTAATCTAGTCCCTATGATCAAATTTCTGCACAAGAATTCCATCAACTGTACTTCATCTCTCAAACATGGATTTCTATATTTTCTATAAAACTTACTGTATTCATTTGCATTTAATATATTTCCATTCTGTTTCTAATTTGAACTTTGTAATTTCACAAGTTTCAAGATTGATCCAACTTGCTACATATCTGTCCATGGCATCTAAATCACAAATGTGAAGGTGGACCCATCTTTCTTTCCCAATTGTGCATTCACCTCTCTCATGTAGTTCAGATTCTTCACACTGTTCATTCTTCAAGTTTCTTCCCTTGCCCTGTTTAGTAGAATTTTCCATTTCTGCGAATGAGTGAATAAATTTCATCTTCTGGCATAAACTCTTTAAAAATTTATTGTGTTATTTAGATCCTCAGTATGGGACTCGTTTTTTGTATGAATGTGTGTATAGAGTGTGTGTGAATGGCAATGTTTGTACAGTCTTTGTGTGCCTCTATATCAAGGACTTTGTGTGCAGAACAAGCATAAAATCTGATTTGAATTCTCCCTATCCACCTTCATCTGGGTGGTAGGCATCAAAATCAGATTGTCAAACTTAAGAATCCAAAGCTTTGCTGAGCACTGTTAGCACACGCCCTTAATCCCAGCACTCAGAAGGCAGAGCCAGGAGTATCTCTGTGAGTTTGATGCCAGCCTGGTCTACAGAGTGAGATCCAGGAGGGACAACAAAACATCACAGAGAAGCCCTGTTTTGAAAAACAAACAAACAAACAAATGCAAAGCTTTACCCCCTGAACAATCTTATTGGTCTATGTCACATTTTAATTGAAACAAATTTTCTGACTACCACAGCCGTGCACAATATTGGTTGCACTTCAATATTTATAGGGAAAAGTGTGTGTATGTGTATTGATTGTGAAGTTCATATCAAATGAACTTCCAAAATTAAAACTGCTGTTTTATAAAGAGTTTAAATCAAAATACAAATCAATTTGAAGACTCACTGCCTAGCACTAATGGAATAAAGGCATCTGATTGGATCCAACAAAACACGATGTGTGTTCCATAAACACATCATGAAAAATCTTGTAACCATGACAATTTAATGGATTGGAGTAAAAATATTCAAAACAGGAGTCATGGGTTGTACCTAGGGTCTAATATCTCCAAAGTAATGAACTTTAGCCGAGTATTACACAACCTGACATGTATATATTCCTGCAGAACTGGCCTCAAATCCAATTAGAAATCTATATTTTTCTTAATAAAACTTATATGATAAAATTCAAATATTCAAAACTGATTGCATCTTGTCAGGGACGACTGTTCTAGCACTCAGGATCAAGTTCTAAGTAAGACCACTGATTTCGTTCCTACTTTTAAGTAATGTTATAGACCTTCTAGTGTGATGTTATCTAGCAATCTCATGGTTCTCTATCAACTTTGTTCATTTATGTTTAGTTTGGGGTCAATATCTACTTACCTTCCTTCCCACAGACACCACCACTTACGCATAAAATTTCAGTAGATTTTTATCTACTACACTTTCTTCTCTGTTGTGTACAACTATGTTCATTAACTGAATGAATTTTCTGGTTTAATGATGACAGATTTTCTTAACTATCGCTCATACATCCAAAATGTTTCTTAATTCATCAATGGATATCTCATTTTTCATCTCATGTTGCTAATTAAACACTCTAACCCTTTATTTTATTTTCAAATGCCAATGTTTTCCCTTGTCTACTGTTTCCTATTCTGTAAGCTACTTAACCACAGTGGGCAGTTTCTGGACAAGACTCATTTTAACTCCAGATTAAATATTCAAAATAAATATATTGAAAGCTAGTGTCTACTTATGAGACTTTTATCCACATAAAAAAACTTATTTAAAGTAGCTCAAAAGTCCATATTCAAGGACTCAATATTCTTATTTGGGTTTCAACAAATAACAATTTCAAACAGAAAATTGAATATGGTATGTCAATGATTATGGTCAATCTTCTGAATCCATCAATATTAACTGCTATTTTAAATTATATGTCATTTGTTAAGAGTGCACAAACTCAAAGGCATTTGACTATGTATACCTTATAAACTTGACTCAGCCCACAGGACATCAAGTAATAAGAAATTTCATTAGGGTCCTCTGAAAGGCATGTATGGAATCACACTACAATCTGGGGTACTAATTTTCTGATCCACAGAATGTTGAGAAAATTAACCAACTTCAAGAGAAATAACCACCGTCTTTATCCAGTTTCTGACATGAGCCCTCCTATAAGTCCTTGGTCATTTGTATTCACATCAATTTAAATGAAAGTATTCATGGTACAGTGTTGTGTAAATGTCGGCTGGAAGAGGCCACATTGATTGGGATTCTCATGAAGCAGATGGATACAACTTACATTATAAAAGAGGGTTTATGAGACATAGCAGTCAATGTGTGTTTGGTCAGGTTCAAGTTCTCTGCCTGGGGGATGTTTTGGGCTTTTGAAGACACCATAGGTGCCATAGAAAACCATACAACAGTGAGCAGCCATTTCAACATCATGTGCCATCTCCATTCAGTAAGATATATGTATACTTCCCTTTCAGGCTCTCCTTGCCCCTCTGAAAATTGTGGAGCATCCCTTTGCATCATTGGACATGACACCATTCGCACGAGGAGTGTTAGATTAGCAGGCTTGTGTGGTCATCCCTCATTGGCTGGGCATGATCAGGACCACTGACACAGACTGTTTCTCGGCCCTCATGCAGACTTGCAGGATAAGGAATTCTGATATCGACTAGGAACTCTGACAGTGACTCTTGCTTGGTCCTCAGGCATACTCTACCCAATCAGGAACTCTGACATGGACTAGGAACTCTGCAATCTCCTGTTGCTAGGTCATCAGACAGACTGAACATTCTGGAACTCTGATATTGACTAGGAACTCTGATGGCAACTGTTACTAGGTCCTCAGGCAGACTCAAGTTTGGCTCTCAAGGAGTAAGGTATTTGTAATCCTTGGCTACTGGTCTGAGCCAATTTCCTCAACCCTGTGGGCCTGTCCTAATACACATCCACCCTTTATTTTATTACCAAAATATCTTAAGGGATCCTGGTCAGCTCAGCTTCTATATTATCCACGACAGCTAACACACAAAATTTTCCAAATTAATCAGACATGGGCAGGGGTTGTGGTCTTTGACTATTTTTTAAACTCTTGGCATGATATAGAAAGGCTGTTGGATCCCTGCTGGATTCTCACTTGTGTTCTGATTGGTGGATGGTTCTTTTAATCTCTCTGCTTTTTAAATGGCTTCCATCACACATCCAGCAACAATGGAAGCCACTGAGATGAATGTACAGAAGTCAATCGCTCTTCGACATCCAGCTCGCGGCCCACTACCGACATGTGCATGCCTGCCCTTCTGAAATCCAAAAGGCCTGACCCTCCTCACCCAGGGTGACTCCCCAGGGATGGACACTCTTCAAGGACTGGTTGTCACAGACGGTAAGACCTTGCTTGGCAAGCCAACCTAAGACAGGCACAGTCCAGTTACTGGGAACCCTGAGGCGGGGTCAACAGGGCCTGAGCAAAGGACTCTGACTTCCACTGAGCCCCCATGTAATAAAATAAAGGGTGGATATGTGATAAGACAGTCCCAAAGGCCAAGGATATTGGCTCACACCAGTTGCCAAGGCATGCACATGCCGTACTCCTTATGAGCCAACCTGGAGTGTGCTGAGGGCCTAGCAACAGGCTCTGTCAGAGTTCCTGATGGTGCCCAGCCAATGAGGGATGACCACACAAGGCCACCAGATTGTGACGCAGCCTGGGTGCTAGGCAGGGAGTATATAAAGACGTTTCCTGTTATTGAAAAAACGAGTTAGCTGTTTGCCTTCAACAAACTCTCAGTGTCTATGTCATTGATGCCATTTCTTCTCACTCCCTCCCCTAAGGGAGCTGCTAACTTCCACTAAAACCTCCCCGACGCTGATCCCAAATCTTCATCACAATCTGGAATAGTCTTATATTTACAGATTCCCCAGTAAGCCTGAGATACTTCTGACTATTTTCTAAGATTCAGGTCAAAAGTTTCTCTCTGGGTAGACTTGTTAACCTTAAGTTCAGCTACATGGAGTGTGGATTCTCACTATATTTGGCTATAAACTGGTAGTCACAGTATATAAATTCTATTATAACTATATATAGTATATTATAATTATATCAAATATTATATAAATAATAATTATTATTATAAAATTAAAGAATCTTACCTGAGTACCAGGCTATTATATGTCACTCCAGCCTATTGATGAGGTCTGTTTCTAATAAGTGGGTTTTCCCAACATCTACCCTAGCACAGAGAGTGAGGGTTTAAGGCTTTTTAGTTACAGCCTTATGCAAGGAGATTCTCCATGGATTACAAGTTCCAATGGGAAAATAAGAAAAGGTCATATTAGTCATAGAAGCACATTTAATATCACCTTATACATAAAGTAAATGTATGAGTTACTCTTGGACAAAGATAGTTTAACTTTCCCTTTTAGAGATAGGTAATGTCTAACATCACATTGTAGAGGAAGGAAAGGCCTGAGGATCCCTCTGACCCATGTATAGATGGAAGATGGCTTATTTCAAAAAAGTGTATGGCAAATCTTTTTTAGAGTTCTGTAACCCTTTTCTAGTTTCTGACTAGCTTGTGCAAGGGAATATTTCTGAAACTCTTTATTCAGAGGAGAAAAGGGTCTAGCCACATTTTTCAGATGTGGAGATGCAATTCACATTTTGCAGCAGGTGAAACCCTAGTTGACCTTGGTTAGTGGGAGAAGATTTGGGATGTACCTCATTAAGTTCTCAATGTGCCACCCAGTTACAGATATGCATACCATGAATCAAATCTTTGAGAGTGCAGAAAGAAATTGGAATTTTCTTCCAGAAGGATGGTACTCTCTGAGCAATGATGCTTCCCCAAGAATTTGTATGGTTCTATGGATGAAACAGAAAATTTTCATGTACATTTACTACCTTCTAGTCTGATGAATACAATTCTCTTTTAAACTCTATATCATCTTCCCTGTTACATAGACCAGGATGTTGTGTGACCCCATCTGGAGCAGACTTTGATGTGGCTGACTCAGTCTGATGGGGAGACTCTCATATGCAATGGTAAGTCAGCATACAAAGCAAGGTTAGCTAAATACATCAGAGGTGTAGAACTGAAGTGTCTTTGAAGAGATGAGCATCTGAACCACCTCCATGATTGTAAGGAACACTTTGGAGTTTCACTTATCAGAGAATTATGCACAAACTGCCAAAGAAAATGTAGAATATCTCTAGCCCTCTTATTTGCAAGTGACATTATAGGTTCCCTAACCTCTGTGCAGTCTGGAAACATCCAGTATTTTTTCTACAGAGAAAGTGAATATAAGGCACCCTTCATCTCAGTCCCTGATACTGAGTAGGAAAATGATTTTGACCCAATTGTAAGAATGGACAAATGGGAGTGTCATGTAAAATGAAATAAAAATATCAAAATATTTGGGAAAAAGGACAAAAGTCAGAAACAGCCTTTGTTCTAAGTGATGGATCTGACATCATATCTAAATGGGAGAAGGAATTAGCTAATCATGGAATCATGGAGTACTTGACTCCTCCTATGAAAGAAAAACTATGAGGATCTCTTGAACAAACTGAATATCAGAATCCCCTTAGTCCATGGTAGGAAGAGTCACACGTCCCTGTCTTAAAAGAGATCATCAGTGGAGGGATATCCCATCATGGCTCATCAGCTTCTGGAAATATTCATGCAGATGTTAGTATTTCATTAATTTGTCTTTGATCTGTGGAGACTAGCTAGCATTCAAAAGCTGTTTGTCACAGCAGGAATCACGTTACTGGCAAGTTTGCCTCATCTATACTGTGCTTTGATCTCAGATATTGGCATGACTGGTGGATTGACTCAATGTTTTGTGACTGCCTTGAAAGTAGATGGCCTGCATTCTAGATTCTGTTTGCAAACATTGGGCTCTGGGATACCCAGCTTGGATATCTTTGGAAAGGGAGTCTCTCAAAGATCCATGTCAGAAAGATGATCAGAAAGCCATAAAGTAAAGGCTGAAGGGATCATGACTCAGAGAACATGTCGGGCAAAATAGAGAAGAAAAGGGATATCCCAGAATACCTCAGGCAAAAAAATAAATAAATAAAGATCCCTGCCTATCTTATGAAGGGTGGGATGATGCTGGAACGCAATATCAGATTCAACGTTCCTTTTATTTTACACTACCCATTCTCAAGGATTGAACCATGACCCCCAGGAGGTTCATATATAAAAGAAACTATATGTCAGATATTTCTATTAAAACTCAGAAGAGCTACAAATCTAGGTATGTAGTAACTAAAAATTAATGTTGTAATTGGGGTCTGGAAATTCTTAGCCCTTGGGAGAAGATCTGATTCTTTTTTCAGTCAATGTTGCAAGAATGAGGAACATAGTAGATGTGATTTCTGAGAGGCAGGTGTCAGTGCACTATCAGGCACACTATTTTTTTTAAGATTTATTTATTATGTGTACAATGTTCTGTCTGCATGTATCCCTGTAGGCCACAGATGGTTGTGAGAAACCATAAGGTTGCTGGGTATTGAACTCAGGCCCTATGGAAGAGCAAGCAGTGCTCCTAACCTCTGAGCCATCTCTCCCGTCCCAGGCACACTATTTTACAAAGTGAAATTTATACTCCCTTCTCCAGAAGAGGACAATTAGATACCACTTTCAGCACACATTTACAAATATTGTAAGTATGTTCTTCATAAGAGTTGCCAAGGTTGTGGTATCTCCTCACAGCAATACAAACCATAAGACCACTACAGTATATTTCCATTGTATAAATGTAAAATTTATATTCTTTTATGTTAAAGTCCATGATGATTTTGTGACCAGAGAAGGGTCACAGAGCAGATGATGGAATCAGTGATATGTGCTGCAGCAATGCACAGAAGTTCTCTGCTATGCATCTTTGATAGACTTAAAATGTGCATATGGAAATTGTAATAATTGTTTACAAAGTAACAAGCTCTACTCATTAAAATTTGCTTCTTTAGACAGTCACATAAATCATGGTAGAATTTCCCCCATTAAAATATTCAGTTCACTGTTAGGTCCATTTAGCAGAGTGAATATCATAGGTTATTGCTCAGAACCTGTGTTTCTAGTAATGCAATTAATAACATAAATTAGCAATTTTAAAAGTGAAGTTTGAAATTGCTTCTCCTTTATATAGCAGAAGATCCAAGAGTACAGTCTCATCATTGTCCTCCAAAGTTATATAATGTGTTTCCTTGTGTATCTGACAATAACTCACATCATGCTCAACGTCCCTAGATGAAATTGTTATTGGCAAAATGTAACAGTGTCAATCTAAGTCCTGGACTGTCTGCCAAACAGGACACTCTGACAAGTAAACAAGCTTCCAAAATGAATCACACTTTATATTGCATTTCACCCACAAAGGGAAGCAGATGGAAGGTGTTTTAGTTGATATCCTCTCTAACGATTGAAATACTGATCATTTCTCAAGAAGCTGGAAACAGAGACATAGAAAAATGAAGATTCTTCTGTTAACCGCTGTTATCGGCTTTGCTTGCACAGAAGAGGTACTTAATATTGGTTAAATTATATTTTTTTCCTAAAGCAAAGCAGCTTGCAATATTGTCGTAGACAGTGCAGCAATCCTTATCAATCAGTCTAAAGCAGCAGTTGTTATATTCACAGTAATTCTATCCATTAGAGAAAACGGATTTAACATCTTGTAGTTTTAACAATGCTTGAGATTTTAATAATTCAGTACAAATATATGGTTTGTGTATTTGTATGTTTATACATGAAAGACATTGTGATAGTGTGATTTTTATAATTTTTTTGAAAAATAGAGCACAAGGCATGTATAGGATTATTCAAATAAATATGAATTCAATTTCTCCTCCTCTCCAAAAATGACTTAGAATTTTTGAATGGACATTATAATTAATTTAATAATTACAGTAATATTGCTGAAGTCTGTCTGTAGCAAGATCTGTTGGATTAACTGAAAACACTATCACAAATTAAAAACATAAAACCAGTTATAAAAGAAATGTATTTTAATAAGGTTAGGTATAACATGTAGGTTCCTGTGCAGGAATGACTTTTTGTCTCAAAACTTACAGTAAATAAAATTTATTTGTGGAGGAAATGCTGGTAATAATAATGTGATCCTTTGTTTTTGTGTCATTTGCTAGTACTGTGGTAACTCTTCATTGCTGACTGGAAATTTTCAGAGAATCCCTCATGTTCAAATGCTAAATAGTTTAATTTT